TATAAGCTATAAGCTAAATCAAACATATCAAAATAGTTTAAATTAAGCTGAAAGCTGAAATAAGCAGCTTTTAAGCTGCACCAAACAGACACAAAATATGTGAGACTACAAAGGTATTTGAGAATTAGGGTTGCAAATGAGCCAAACTTTAGTATGTTCGGGCTTGTTTATTAATATTTTAACAAACTCAAACTCGAGCTTGAGCTCGAGCTCAAATTTAATAAAAATTTAATGAATCAAGCTCGAGTTGAGTTGGCTTAAGCCTGACTCGAGTTCGAGTCTATTCACGAGTCTTAACAAGTCAAAAAATTTATAAATTTATACTTATGTATGAGACTAAAGTTACAATTAAAACTTTGAGTATAAAATTATATATACAATATATAAGCATTCTAAAAAAAAAGTCAATATTTAATTAAAATAATAATATTTGCTGCCACTATTATATAAATGTACTATCTATAGTTAGCTATTATTTACATTTATATTTTTTAAATATATAAATAACATATTTATCTTATTTTTTATACATATTTTTACATTATTTAATTTATAAATAATAAATATTAAACGAGTCAGCTAACTAGCCAGCAGAGCTTTAGAATGTTTGGGTTTGTTTATTAAAAATTTATCGAACTCGAGCTCGAACACCAAACAAATTTAATCAATCGAGTTTGAACGAGGTCTTACCAAGTCAAGCTCGAGCTTGTTCATTATGTTCATTTACAGCCCTATTGAGAATTGATTTTTTTAATAATTTTTAAATTTTTTATGAAAAAATGTATAAAAAAATAGAAAGAATAATTTGATAATTTATAGGGTTGATTTGGAAATTTAGCTATTTTAGCCCAACTAAAAACATTCAGTGTGTTTGGTTTGAGTTTTCGGGATTAAGTTTTTTGAAAACTGATTTTTTTGATTTTCGTGTTTTTTTGTTTTTAGTAAGTATTTTTTAAATTTTAAACATTTTTTTTACTTTTTTAAATGCACCTTACTTAGATGTATTTAAAAAGTAAAAAATTTGTGAAAAAATATTTTAAAAAATTAATAAATACATAAAAATATAAAAAATGTACTGAATTCTTGTATTTTTTAAATTTTTTGGTATTTAGTAAATTTTTAAAAGATTTTTTTTACAATTTTTTTACTTTTTAGGTGTATTTATGTTAGGTGTGTCTAAAAAGTAAAAAAATTGCTTAAAATATTAAAAAAAAAATCAGTAAAAAAAAAAACAAGAAAAATAAGAAAGTAAAATTTTCTAAAAAGTGCTTTTTGAAAAGTGAAAACAAGCAAGGTGTTATATTTATGATGATAATTAACTTTTTTTTGTAGTTAATTTGATAGTTGTGAGAGAAAAAAATGAAATAATTATGATTTAAATATAATATTTTATCTTAGTAGTTATTTTAAATTATTTTGTCACATCACCAAACAAAGTGTAATTATTTAATTTAATTTTCTAAATTTTTAGAGAGGTAAAAGGAGGTGTTTGGAAAGATGATGAGGCTAAAACATTTCATTAAAAAATAAAATAGTTTAAAATAGTCAATAAAATAAAATGTCATATCTAATTCATAATTATTTTATTTTTTGTCTCAAAACCATTAAATCAACTAAAAAAAAAAATCAAATTTTCAAATATAACTATTTTAACCAAACTAAAATAATGAAAAAAGTCAAATAACCAACTAAGTCTTCGTTTGGCATGTTGGTTTTAAAAGGCTAAAATAATTATAAAAAGATAAAATAAATTAAAAAATTAATAAGATAAAATATCACATTTAAATTATAATTCTTTCATTTTTTTTCAAACTTTTTAACCCAAACTAAAATAATAAAAAAAAAACTAAGGTTGCGTTCGGTAGTGTCACGTCCCAAAATTTAGACAATTAAATATTAAATTAGGACTAAACCTCAATCAATATTCCATCATCCAAATCTTAGGGGTGAAACAAAAAAAAAAAAAAAAAACTAAACGCCAACCAAACCATCCACCATAATTTCATAACTAACTAATACCTCAACATTAAGGTAGCAACAACCAATCAAAACAACTTAAATAATATACGGTTACAAACCATGCCAAATTATTCCAATACTAAAGTCATAAAAAATAATAATAAATACATACACTAATATCAACCCTAAGTTCAATAAAATAAAAGAAATCCGAGAGTTATGTTCAACAACTATAGTTATTCTACGTCACCACCGTAACCCTAACTAATCCTGCAAAGGAAACTCGACTGCGCTCAAACAAAACGCACCCGAGTTGCCAAGAGACAAAACGGGTCAATATACAGGTATGCTGGTATGAGTACAAGATTTAACACCCACGTGTCCACTAGACACAAATAAAAATACATTTAATTCCTGTTATGGGACAAGATAAGTAGTTCTAACTGCATCAAGACGAATTGGTAGTTTTCCGAGATTTAGTTTCTTACTTGTACACAACGAAATATAAATTGATTATAAAATAAACAAAATAGAAATAAAAATATGGTGGGTCAGCCCCCACATAAAAAGTTAGTAAGACTCACCATCCTGCAAAAAATAAAGTTAGTATAATTTAATTATAAGTAACTTGTTGAAGAAGTATAAAAATACACCGTTTCATACGTAAATAATTTGAATTAACCAAAACTCAAAGAACAAAAATTGTATAGAATCAAATTTCCTAAAAGACAATGTGAACGAATTTAACAGAAATTGAACAGGTTGAGAGAAAAACTTGATAGAAGAACCTAGACGGAATTCAATCGAAAAATCTGAAGCTGAAAATGAACAGAAACTGCCCTAAGATGATTTTTTTCGGAAAAGTTCAAAACACGAAAAGTATGCAGAATAATATTTTACTTCAGTTTACACGAAACCAAGATCATCCGATTATAAGTTCTAATCGATCTTTTTAATAAAAAGTTAAAACACAAAAGTTGTCTAGAATCACGTATACATTCCTCTACTCAAATTTCATAATTTATCGAGGTCGTTTACTATTTTTCAACCTGTACAAATCAATACAATTCACACTATAACAATAAACTCGTAATTAAATTCTTTGTACTTCGGTCCTTCCCTTCCAGCCTACACATATATCCCATGTGCCTACAGTATACCTAACACCACTCTGAAGCCAAACTTGCACGGAAATATCATCCCGAGTTTGACCCACCTTCTCCGGATGGTTAGCATATACGTGTGCGAGTAAATCAAAACACCCATCTACCCATGAGAACAATGCAACAATATACATATACAAAACATCTCACTCATGAGAACAACATAACAATGCCAAGCCTAAGGCATTCAAATAAATATTATAATTCTCACTTTTTTTTTTGTACACTCTTCCTCACCATCACTCAAATAAAAATAACAATCCATGGAGTCATGGTGGAGTATAAGGAATTTATCTACGAGTTTCTAATTAATTTTAATTTTATATAACCATAAGTGTGATTATAATCATAAAATAAATCCATATAAAAACCCTAAACTTGGCATATATAACTAATCAAAATAATTAAAATCAATCAATCAATCAACTAAAAACCTTAAACTTTACAGACACAACTAAATCAAAATAATTAAAATCAATCTATCATCTTTATATAAATACAAAATCAAACTAATATCAAATAAATAAAAATAACGAATTAAACATAAATACAAGGAAGTGATTTTATACTCACAATATTTTTTTGAAAATCAAAAACATATTTAAAAAATTAATGAAACCACTAAAACAAAACCTTAACCTTTTCTTTTTCTTTCCTCTCATCTTTCTCCCATTGCTGCCGTCTCTCAATTCTCTCTCAATTTCTTTGATTAATCTCTCTCTCTCTCCTACGGCTGCTGATGGAAAATCTTCCACCAAAAAGTGATTAAAACCCAGTTGACTACTTATATTATACTATATATATAATAACCTAATTTTCTATTATATTATATTATACTATACAAATAAATCACATATATAAATATATATATTTTATATAAAATTTATAACAATAATTTTTTTAATATATAAATATAAATATAAATATTCATATTAATTATGTATAATTAATTAACACATTAAATTAATTAAATATCAAGTTAAATTCTTATATAATTACACAATTAATAAAGTCAAAAATAAAATCAAGCAATAATAATAAATAAAGAGTTACGAAGAAATCAGGGTCGCTACAGGTAAAGTTTTCTAAATATGATTTGAAAATAGAGTTGTATTTTGAGTTTGCGAGTTTTGAAATTATGATTTGAGTGTAGAAAATTTATTTGGTGAATAAGTTTTGAATTTTTTTTTGAATTAAGTAGGAAATTTTTGATATGACATATGATATTTGATATAAAAACTTATAACTTATAACCAAAAACACAACTCAAAATTCTATTAAAACTCATTAAAATTTTTTAAAAATTCAGAAAATATTTTTTATTGAATATATAAAAATTAACATGTGTCAATTGTAAACAAAAAAAAATTTGCATTGTTTCGGTCAATCGGTCGGACGATCAGTTAGCACAAATTCTTTTGCCTTTGACAACGTTCTTAAAAATGAGTGTGAAACTAATTTTTAAAAATCGTAAACAAACACTATGCTCAATTCAAGCTCTAAAACTAATGCTCAAGAACTCTACTAAAAAAAAAAAAAAAAAAAAAAAAAAAAAAAAAAACCCCCTAAAAAAAAAAGCCGAGCCTTTAATGATAAGTTACAGTAAAATTTTAAATTTCGACAATGCTACGTAACTCAAATTTTATGACTTAAAAGTGGCTCAAATAGCCAAAACGACGTCGTTTTTAGTACAGAACAATATAAAAATAGCCAAAACGACGTCGTTTTGACCATTTGAGCCACTTTTAAACCACAAAATTTGAGATACGAGACATTTTTCTTATTTACCTCGAGAACTGTTTTTTTTATTTTTTTAACCTTGAGAACTGTTGACTGTATGTTTACTGTCACCATCACTCTCTTCTCTTCTCTCTATGTCTCTCCATTCTTCCTCCTAGGCTATACCTCACGCTACCAATACATACACACACTACATATAAATACATATCTATACATACATACATACATATATCCAGAGAGAGAGAGAAGAGAGATGCGATACAGAGGTTGTGGTGATTCTGATCTGGTGTACTATGGTTACATAGTAGGGGTTGTGTTTGTGAGCTGGTCGATTATAGAGGTGAGAGCTTCGATCCATGAATACAATAACGAACCATTCAATCCTCGCTTCAATTCCTTCTTCTTCCATGGTGGCAGTGAGGGTCTCTACGCTTCCAAGCTCATTCTCCCTCACATTTCCAAACAACCTATACCTGCTTCTCAACATAAACCCCTCAATCTCAATGGCAAGTCTTTTATTAGGTATTCAAAACCCAACCCTCTTTCAACCCATACATTCTTTCAATTTCTTTCTTACTTTATTGAATCAATTTCAATAATCAATATTGTATAGTCAGTTTGGCTGTCTGGTGAAAGAGGAAAAGTCTTTAAGGTAGTGTTTGGTTCTTTGGAACGAAATGCAATGGAATGATTATTCCATCAAAATATTCATTCTTATGTTTAGTTTGATTAAAAAATAATGACAAATGCATTACAAATGGAATCATGTGTCAATGGTCATTCCATAGGAAAATCTAAGGAATTACTATTCCTTTCCATTCCCTATCATTCAATGAACCCAATAGAGTAGTGCCTATGTAGTGAGTAAAAAGTGGTAACTATAATGATTGAATTCATGAGTAATTTAGCAAAGACTAAATCATGAAACGAATGGATGATCAATTGTTAGTTTAGCTTCACTGTAGGAAATCAAGAATGGAAGCTATTCTTACTTGTGTGCGTGCACAGCAAAAATATGAATCATGAAACGTGATTATCAATAGAGTCAGTTTGAATTTCATTGAAGTTATTCTCACTTGTGGCACACGTGTACATGTGTACGTGTGTGAGCAAGTGCTTCGGTCAAGATCCAAATCAATGAACATTTTTGTTAGCTTCCCACTGCATTTCCAAGAACTTATCTTTGCAATATTTCTGCCATTACAGATTTTCTGACTAGAATTGATATGATGTTTAGATTTTCTGCCATTTTTGAATGGAGGATTTACCCAAATGCTTTAACATGGACCCACTAAGAGGTCATTGGAAAGATTCAAGCTAATTTTCTCTCACATAACATTTGAACATCATTGGGTGAGGTCTTTGTTTGTTTTATACTTGAGCACTAGTATAGCTAGGTTCTTATTTTCTGAAATCTGTGATTGTATTTCCTCAAGAATGAGTAGTAAGCATGACCTGTATTTGATTATCTCTGCATTTGACTCCCCTAGTTGATTCCACTATAGTATAGAGTGAAAATGATCCTGCTAAAGGAGCTTGTTTGTCAATGGTAAGTACAGTACTTGAATGAGGATCTGTACCAAAAACATGACAAGAATAGTTTGAAGTACTTATTTTTCCTATGCTATGTGATTTCAGGTTTGAATCGATCATCTTTCGTAGAACAAAAGAGGCCACCAGTAAGCAAAATGAGATGCAGCAAAAGACAGGATTGGTTGAAACTATTATAGTTGAGGTCAAAGACAGGGATAAGATTGGGGGTTCTTATTTGAATTCTGATGCAATATGCTGCACCCCTGCTCTTGCCAATGATGGATCCTGCAAAGTTGGAGAGGTTATTATCCGCCAAGACCCAGATAACCCCGGGTGGCCAAAACGGATCCAGACCACCTTTGAAGGGAAAATTGAAGAGGCCAAAATGGATCTTCAGACTGTTGAGATCAATAGCACTGGCATGTATTATCTATATTTTATGTTTTGTGATCCAGAACTCAAGGGCACATTAATCAGTGGAAGAACGGTGTGGAGAAACCCAGAAGGTTATCTACCTGGGAAAATGGCACCCATGATGACATTTTATGGTTTAATGTCTCTAGCTTACCTTGTTCTTGGTCTCGTATGGTTTCTTCACTTTGTACGATATTGGAAGTATATAATACAATTGCACTATCACATCACAACTGTAATTGGTCTGGGAATGTGTGAAATGGCATTCTGGTATTTTGAATATGCAAATTTCAATGCCACTGGAAGCAGACCAATGGGAATAACCACATGGGCGGTTACCTTCAGTGCTGTCAAAAAGACTGTATCTCGTCTTCTTCTTCTGGTTGTGTCAATGGGTTATGGTGTTGTGCGGCCCACTCTTGGTGCTATAACCTCAAAAGTACTTCTTCTTGGTGTGACGTACCTTGTGGCTTCAGAGGCCCTTGAGCTTGTTGAACATTTGGGAAATATCAACGACTTTTCTGGAAAAACAAGGCTTTTTTTGGTGTTACCAGTTGCTCTATTGGATGCCTTCTTTATTCTTTGGATTTTTTCATCATTATCTAAGACTTTGGAGAAGCTTCAGGTAGTGTTACTCATTACTTCCTATTGTTACCATGTTATCACAAAGTCCACTTTACAATTGTTAATGATTAATGCATAGTTTGCACTAGCAGTCTAAAAAGCACGAACATGGACACATGACACGACAATGACACACTGACACGGAAAATTTCCAAAAGTGGAGAACACGACATATGGAGGACACGTGCAAAATATATAATTTTACATATTTATTATAGGTCATATACAAGTATAAATAATTATTGTATGTCATATATATAAATATTTAAGTCAAAGATAATAATTTTTTAAATCTAAAAGAGGATAATAGGTATAAATTTACATTATTTTTGTTTTATCATTGGATTTCAAGCTATTAATTCAAACTTGTAATGTGTTTCATGTGTCCAAGTGTTGAGAAGAGCCCGATGAGTATTATGTCGCTTTGATGTCTAACATGGTGTTGGAGACGATACGTTATCTTCTTAGAAGTGTCCGTACTTCTTAGCTAGCAGTTATGTATGTGATCTCAACCATCATGCATGGTTTGTGAGTCTTGCGTTTTTATATGTGATATTCCGTTATGTACTCAACTTGACAAACCTTCTATCGTTTTATAAAAATATTGAACCAAGTTGTGTCTTGCAACTTGTATAATTGCAGATTGAAATTGTACTGTGATGCTCAAAATTGCCATATATCATCTGTCTTCAAGAATTGAAAAACCTACTTTGTAGGATTACGACAGGCATGGCTGATAATATTCACCTAGTCTGACATGTTTGTTTTGAGTAGTAAACAGTACTAGATTTCATCGCATAAATAAAAATAAAAATTTAACTGAAAATTTTGATTAGTAGATTTTTTAAGAATCTGAAAATCCTAATCTTAAAAGTTCATGTAAGTTGGTTAAATAAAGGAAACAATAACTTAAGTTCCGCCACTAATGGAGATTATGTTTCAATTTCTATATCACTTATGGACACTTTCATGATCAAATATGTTCTTTCTCACAAGTGATGTGTGTATATATGTTAGAAAAAATTGTTGTGACCTCCATTGAGGTTTTGATTTCAAGCAACAAGAAGAGCCCCCTTGTTTAAAAAATATGCAAAGACGTACCCTATGGTTTCAATTGGTTAACAAGAATTGACTGTTGACTATTAAAATTTACCCTTTAAGTGAAATGAAATAATATAAATTACCTTTACATAGTGTAAATTCCACATAGATCATGTTTAAAGCCATCATTGTACAGAATTAATCAATGGTATCATGATATCATCCCGCATTTGTGATTTCACTATCCTCAATGTAAGCTACTTTAGTTCACGATACAATCTCCCATACATGAATGGGCCACCTTCTATGTTCTCATTTCTCTCTTCCTCACTTTCTCTCTCTAGCTATTTTGACACCATCGGCATTGCATTTTTGGCCTTTGTGGTGGCGGAGTATGTGGTGAATGTTGGTGTCCAAGGTGATGATGATACGGTAGATGGTGATGGTATTGGTAAGTGGGGAATGGAGATGATTGAGTGCAGTGAGTGGTGATAAGTGGTTGTTTGCTGTGATGGTGTCAGAAGATTTTTGTGGTGGTGATGGCTTGTGGGGTGATCATGTATGGTAGGGTGATGGGGTGGGTGGCAATAGTGGTTGTGTGCGGTGGCGGCGGTGGTGGTGATGCTATGATGGGTATTTGATATTGGGTGTTTGGGGTGGTGTGCTCTTGGTGGATGGTGGGGTGTAGTAGTTGTCTAGTGGTGGTTCAATGTGTTGAAAGCAGAGAAAGATGTTATGGAAAATGAGGGAAAAGAAAAATATTTTTGGTAGTGAAAGGTTTTATTTTTTTATGGTGTGTATATGTTGCATGTGCGTAGTTTTGATCTTAGAATAGATTTGGTCATTGAGATTTGTTTTCACATATGGCAGAAGATCATTTGATTTTAAAAATTATATGGAGTTGGTGGTGCACATATAATCTGACACAATACATAATTATATATATATAAATTCATGTGATGTGACTTTAATATCCGTCAACTGTCAACATTAATAGACATTATATAGTGACAAGGAGGTATTTACTTATTTTTGAAACAAAGGCGGTGATGGGGAACATGAAGACATAGGATGAGATGATGCTTGAAGTTGAAGATTAAAGATATGTTAATTTATTTGGTTTTACTCCCTCCGTCTCATTTTGTTGGTCCACTTTTCCATTTTTGAATGTCTCAAAATGAATGTCCATTTTGAAAAGTCAATGAATAAAGTTATGTGATTTTTCCATTTTGCCCTTTCTTTTTGGAATTAAAATAATAATTTAAAAAAATAAAATTACAATGGGTCAAATCAAAATGAATTTTCCTCCACCATGAGTAGAGCAATTATTAGGGGTAAATTTGGAAATTTGAAAATATATTATTACAATAATAATGATTTCTTAAAAAGTTGGATTGCCAAAAAAGGGACTATTATTTTGAGATGGAGGGAGTATTAGGATTTAATTATTGTAATTTTTATTTTTTTGATGACTTTCTCATTGGGGTTTCCTAGGAGGATACCTATAAATAGTCATTTTATGTAATGGTTTATCAGATTTGGATATTGAATATTGAAGTGATATTGCATTGGGATTGACTCCCCATTTCTCGCTTTCTCTATGCTTCTTCCCTTCCCCATATTCTTTTCCTTCTCCTTATTGTTCTCTTCTTCTTCTTCTTTTGTGCTGCATCTGGGGGTCTAGTTGCCTAAATCCAAGACCTCAGGGGAGGTTAATGCTATTTATCATATATTATAATCGTCGTCTAGCGGACTAATGCAATAGGAAACTAAATATTTTATCTTGTTAATTCATGTACCAAGCTGTACATAAAACACATTGCTTTAGTGAGTGATATTGGTTAAATATTTTTTCTTGTTAATTCATGTACCAAGCTGTACATAAAACACATTGCTTTAGTGAGTGATATTGGTTTGTTGTTTATGGTTTTCCATGAGTCACGATACATTACTTTGGTGTATATCATATTAATGGTACAAAATTCCATTAAACACCACCACTTAAAACCATGCTTATGCCATTGGCTTATTTATGATTTTTTTCCCCTCCATTATTTTGGCAGTTTTCTTGTACATGACCTTGTGTGTATTGAGTCATATTGTCGCCATCTGGATACAGTGGGTGAGACCAATAATTAAAACCGTGCTTACAGCTTACCAAACAGTTACCATTAGCTTTTTTTCTACACATAGTCATTGACCACAATGTCTTTCTCAAACTTATTAATCTTCTACTATAAAAGGTGATTCTATTTCAGAGATTAGTGTATCTTCTTCTAATGAATGACCCTTGTTTGATTGTCATCATTTTTTAAAATAATCGTGCTTGAGGATGGGTGGTCCATTAGTTTGTATCCTGCAGAATAATATATCATGTCTTTTGTTCTATCTGAGGCAAATTATGAATTTATCTTTTTCTTCTACATTGACCACAGGTACGGAGAAGCATGGCTAAACTTGAACTCTACCGAAAATTTACCAATTCTCTAACAATATCGGTGCTGCTATCTGTTGCTTGGATTGGCTATGAGGTAGTTTTCTGTTACTTTTCATTTCCTATTCCTATGGCTTTTCTCAATTGATAGTATTTTAGTGCAACAGTTACATGACGGTAGTGTAACCCAAAAATATTTTCCCTTTACTACATGTGCCAAGCCTTGTTGCTTTCATATCCGTATCATAACCATATCGGATATTGATACTCCTCAGATACTCATGGATATGTATCCAATACTTGCTAAACATATTCGCAGGAGTGGAGCAAGGCATTGGGCAAGATCAAGTGATCAGGTCAAGTCAAGTTTAAATGACTAAAATCAACAAATCACTAATAAAAATAAACTAATAAATAATGAAAACATTTCATTCTAAATGTTTTCTAGAAACTTGAACTTTAATGATTCCCCACTAGAAAAATGTAAATTGGAAGTAATATACCATAATAATAATAATAAATAACAAATCGCATTGCATACGGATTGTTGAAGTTGTCTCATACTAAAAATGAAAGAGGAAAATAATTAAGTCGAGAAAAATTATGGTGCACACTCCTAAAAATGTGTATATCATATACCTTTACAAAACTAGACCACAATGATTCGTAACAAAATCACTGTAATTAATAACTTTTATCACCACAATAATTTGTAACATTTAATGCTCATAACATAATCTAATCACCTTGAGTGGTTTCGACTAGTTTTCTGAAAATTGAGTTTTTTTGTTTTCCATTTTTTTTTAGTAATTTTTTTAAGCATTTTTTTTTGCTTTTTAGATATACCTAACCTAAATGTTTTTAAAAAGTAAAACAAAAATGAAACAGACTCCTATTTTTTTTGACCTCCACAAACCCCCACTGACACATGTCAACTAGAGATAGGAGAAAAAAAAAAAAAAAACAAAAAAAACAAAAAGTTGGCCAATCACAATGCGTTGGGGGTGGTGGGGGTTCTCCAAAAAGGGGGTCCCAACCTTTTCCCAAAGTAAAATATTTGTGAATGTTATTAAAAAAATTCAATAAATAAAAAAGAATATGAAAATGTATTGAATTTTTGTATTTTTTTGTATTTATTGTATTTCATAATTATTAATATTTTTTTTTTCTAGAAATATTAAACTTTTTATGTATATCTTATCTACACATCTAAAAAGTAAATATATTGCTTAAAATATTAAAAACATTCACACACAAAAATAAAATAAAAAAAAATAAAAAAAAATACACGTAAAACAGAAAGTCAATTTTCAGAAAGTTACTCTAAACCAAACAAGGTAACTATTCATTACATAACCACAATGGGTTGTAACCACGACTTTCTTTGTATCTAGCACCAAAAAAATGTAAATAAAAATTGGAGGGGCCAAATATAATTAAATTACCTAAGGTCCATATAACATATACATATATAGGTGCATTTGTTGGAACTCAACACTATCTGATACATTTCGGACACTCTGGGTCACGTATGCAAACCATTATGGAATTGAAGTTGAAATTGCAATAATTTTTGCATAATATTAGAGTATAATTGTTAGAATAAATACAAGAATAGTTTTTTAATATTTACTTGTTTCTTACCATCGAAGAAAATAGTGAGATAAAATAGTACCCCACTTTTAAGAATTTATCAAATTAACGTATCCATTTTTTTTTTTTAAAAAGAAGACTATTGGCTCTTAAATTAATACGAATTCCTAAAAAATTATTTCTCACTATTCTTTGTGCTCATATATACTGTTTTTAAAATTTATAATTTTTTTCAATGTATCTAGGCTGTACTCATATCCTAGTTTTTTTAAGATTTTGTCGTATTGTTGTATCTGTATCGGATTGTATTATCCATGTGCATGCTTCATAGGTAATGTATTTGACTTTGGATGATTTAGCTCTAAATATTTTATTAATCAGTCCCTTATATGAATTATAAGATCTACAAATCTTCAATTTTTTTCCTTCTAAATATAATATCATTAAAATTTTACATCTGTGATAAAGCTTCTTTTGTTTATGTTGTTTCAGTTGTACTTTAATGCAACTGACCCATTGAGCGAATTGTGGCTAAGAGCCTGGATCATCCCAGCCTTTTGGACTTTGCTGGCATTTTTACTCTTGGTGGTGATATGTGTTCTCTGGGCTCCTTCACATAACCCAACAAGGTACTCTCTAGAACATTGCTCATTTTCTTTTCCGTCAGACTTATATTTTCCTTCTTGTTTCAAATGTCGTTTCTTCTACCGTAACCATTAGAATTGTGTATAAAATGTCAGCTATTGAAGACTGGTGAATCTGTTTTTCAAAGGAACTTCTAAAATACTGCAAATATGCCTTCAAATGGCTGTCATAGAAAGTTTGATAAATTTTCACTGTGAACATCTCATTTTTGACCTAGAGCAAATTGTTTTGTTTGTCTCAATCATGGACTTCTACTTTTTTCCTCAAAAACTTTAATGGTGGAAGCACGCAACCAAGGGAAGAAGCATATATATATATGTTGATCTAATAGAAATTGTAAGCTAGGGGGTTCAATTGGAGGTTTAAAGAGATGTCAGCCTTAATCAACCTATCAAGAGGTTCTTAAAAGATTTGTGTCCAAAGGACGCATGAGGCTATCGCTAGCAAGTCGGTAGATGCAGTAGTTCCGTTGCCTATATTTATGGTTTAACTAGAACAACTAGTTTTGGTCAATCAATTTTTGAAAGTTGATGGCATCCCTAACCTATGACTAACCTCTGGAAGGCTTCACTCCCCTTCTGGTTCATGTTAATTGGATGCTTGTAATCAGATTCCACTGTTACATTCCATTGGCCTTGGTGTTTGGCAATCTACCCCCAGCTTAACTTGATTTTGGTATCATTATGTTAAACTTCGTAAGTAGGTATCATTGTGTTAAACTTCGTAAGTAGGATTTTGATGAGATGTTGGTAAATATGGTGAGGATTTCAAGATTAGCAAGGGAAGCATAACCTAGAACATCTATACTTGTGTTGTGACACTCTTGTCGAAATTTGGTGAAAAGAGAGATTTTAGGACTTGGAAGCATTCCAACTTTCACCAACATGCTTGTAATATGTGAACCTTTTTTGTTGTTGTTGTTGTTGTGGTGTGTGTGTGTGTGTTATTTTCTGCTTAAAAATGTATGATTGTCATCAAACTTGAATTTGGTGCTATTGTGGCACAATGGGAGAAAGTGCTAACATGGCATCTTATAAGGAAGGGGTATGGTCAGGGATCCAAAATTTTACCACTTTTGTTGATCATAAATGTTTAGATGAAAAAGATTCATTATTTCATTTTCATATTTCATCATAATACCTGATTTGATGTGGGTATGCGCAGATATGCATACTTGGAGGAGACGGGCGATGACCTTGAGGAGGAGGGTATTTCACTGACTGGCGGTGGAGTAAAGGTGGCTGCAGATCTAGCAACCATGGTGGAAAGGAAGGAAAGGAAGGTGACAATTGCCACAGATCATGTGTTCAGGCTCGGAGAAGATCTGGAGGAGGACAAGAGAGAATGATGGCTCGTCCTCGAATTCCATCTGATCTTAGATTTGCACATGGGATCCAGGACTTCGGTTAGATTTTCAATCATACCATTTGTGTTTAATGTAAAAAGGAGAAAATGAAAACACAATTAAATACCTGTTTTGAAAATTAACAGCATTAAACTCAAACCTTTTTTGCATTGTTCTCCAGGTTTTATTTTTCGCAATTGAGTGAATTTCAAACGAGTAGAGTAGGGGGGGTGATGTAGACAAGAAGTAAAAGGAGATTAATAGTTCGAAGAAAAAAAAAACATGTACTTGTCTATTACTACAATGCACAAATCTCTTGTGATGTTTGTTAATCATGAGATGAAGATGTAAACAAGAATTAAACATGCCTTGCTAAATAAAAAGAAAAAAGAAAAAAATGGAATTGAAGATTGAAACAATGAAATGCTTGTAATAAATTTTGGTGTTCTCTTGTTAGTTACAATCCATATGACTCACTCAACTAGATTATGGTGTAAGATAACAGGAGTCATGTTAATTGGGGTTCAGCCGCAGTGCTTCTGCGCACTTGTTGTCTCTCCAGTGTCCATTTATGCATTTTTTGTGTGTTAATTTGTTGTTTGATTACATCCATATTACTGGAAAGCCTCCTCGCTTAATGCACCTTAAGAACATTATCCTCTTCCATGTCAACATGATCTCATTATTTGCTAGATGCATTGACAACCCTTAGCGATTAGAGTCAAATATAAGACACATTCTTGTGTAGTTGTGAGAGCAACTGTTTCCCTCATTTCTCGGCATCTCAGAATGCCTCAAGATCTTCATGAAAACCTCCTTTACTTTCCATGTTACTCCTAAGACTACTCAAAGTCTTGTAGATCTCAACTGTCCTTGGTGAGGATGAATCTCCCGAGAAGAAAGTATTGACCTTGTTTGTCACCTCAATCCAACTACACCCAGGGCTCTTCTTCAACCCCTCTTGCCTCATCGACACCCTCAAATTTGCAGCCTTGACCCATAAACCTGCTTCGACATACAAGTTTAGAAGTTGAACATAATTGCTGCCTCTGTTTGGTTCCATCTTCAATAGATTGTGGGCTGCCAATTCTCCAAGCTCTACCTTACGATGGGCTCTACACGCAGACAACAAAGATAGCCAAACTTTTCTATTGGGTTCAATGGGCATGCTCTCTATGAAACTGTAGGCATCTTCTACGCATCCAGCACGGCCCAAGAGGTCAACAATATTCACATAATGCTCCGTCCTAGGGTTAATTTTGTGTTCAACTGTCATGGATTGAAATAGATTTACACCTTCACTTACCAAACCAGAATGATTGCAGGCTGAAATCAAGGAGAGGAATGTTACATCATCTGGTTTGATTCCTGATCTTCTCATCTCATCAAATAAACCAATTGCGTTTAAGCACTCTCCGTGTGACCCATAACCAGATATCATTGAATTCCATGTTACTAAGTTTCTTCGAGACATGTTACGGAAAATGTGCTCTGCATATTTTAAGCATCCACACTTGATGTACATGTCAATTAATGCATTGTCTACTTGAAGATCGGACAGAATCTCGAGTCTTGTTTGGTATCCATGTATTGCCTTTCCTTTAAGCAACACTGCTGCTGATGAAACTGCAACGAGAATGCTAGTAATAGAAACAGGGTCTGGATATAAGCCATGCTGTACAATTTGAGGGAAAATATTGACGGACCGCTCTGCCAGGCCATTCCAGCAATAGCATGAGATCATAGAATTCCAAGCCAACAGATTGTTACATGGCACGCCTGAAAATACATTTTCAGACATCTCAGGGAACCCACATCTGGAATACATATCTATCAGGGAACTAACCACAAACTCATCCAATACCAAACCATATTTAGTGACAAATCCATGAATCGCCTGACCCAATCGTATATTCTCAATTCCAGTACAAGCACTGATCACTCTTGCCATAATATCAGAATCAGGTTTCATCAAGTCAGCCCTCATTGCTTTGAACAAATCCAAAGCCTCCTCGAATTTCATATTTTGGCAAAAACCCGATATCATGGAGCCCCACGCAACCACATCCTTGTCCTTCATTGTATTAAAGACTGCAATGGCATCCTCCATACTCCCACATTTTGAGTACATTGTTAACAGACCACTCTGCACAGCAATATTATGTTGTATCGGTCTTTTGATCAGTTCCGCGTGAAGTGTCTTACCAAAATTGTGTAATTCAATCACACTGCAAGCAGCTAGAAGATTAGATACCGTGAATGAATCAGGTGAAAATGCAATTAGCCTCATCTGATTATAGACATCAAAAGCATCATAAGCACAACCATTGCCAATATAGGCTGAAATCATGGCATTCCATAATTCAATTTCTTTACTGGATATCCAATCAAATATTTTTTCTGCATCTTGGACCGATGTGCACTTGGCATACATAGTGATGAGAGAAGTACAAACATATGGGTCACTTTGAAAACCCAACTTGAACACATCACAATGGAGCTGCTTACCAAACCCCACATCTCTGCCCTGAGAACAAGCGGTCAACGCAGAAGAAAACGAGGAAGAGACAAGGCTGCAATTCTCATTCTTAAGTAATGAATACAATTCTAAGCTATGTTCCCACATCCCATTCTCACAAAACCCGCCTATCATTGCATTCCACGCTGCAACATTTTTCTTATCTTCCAACTTCTGAAACACACACCAGGCGTCCATTGGATAACCACAACTCGAGTACATAGCAACAAGTGCAGTCACCACAAAAGCGTCATCCCAAAACATGTTTCTCACAACATAACCATGAATTTGCTTTCCTTCCACATAACCCAAACAATCATTGCACAATCCAAGCACAATACTAAGCGAGTACACATCAGGTTTGATACCCAACAATTGCATTCGACGAAACAGAGCTATAGCTTCTCCAATATGACCATATCGAAAATACCCATCAATCATAGAGTTCCAAACTGTGATATCTTCAATCAAAGCTTGACTCTCAGACAAATTGACAAACACTTGGACTGCATTGCTCAGAGACCCACATTTCACATACATGTTAATCAATGAGGTTGTTATGTAGGGATCGAATTGAAGACCCAATGAGATGATTGTGGCATGGATAGTCTCTCCATAACAAAGATTTGAAAGGGCAGAGCAGGATTTGAGAAGAGAAGGGAAGGTGAATCTGGTAGCGTTGAGAGGAAAATGGGGTTCTTGAAGGTATAATTGCAAGGCATGTGAATGATGTCCTTGTTGAACTGAGGTCTTGATCTTGGAATTGATCGAGTTTGAGAGATGGGATTGACACAAAATTGAAAATCTTCGGTATATGAATAGATTGAAGCACATATTATCATGGTTGAAGCTCTAATGAGTCAAAGAAGAAACAGGGTGTGCCTGGACTGACTGTAAACGCATTGCGAGTCTACCAAACTGAAATCAGTTTTTACCATATAACCACCAGTCCGAGAAGATATTGAGAAGAAAATTTTTTTTAGTTAGTTTTTTAAAGTTGGGCTTTTTTTTTTAGTTTGGAATTAAAATGTTGATTTGATAATTTTTTTTAAAAATTTTTTTGTAACTTATATGACAAAAATTAAAATAATTATGATTTGAATGTAATATTTTATTTTATTAATTTATTTAATTTATTTTATTTTTTTGTACTTTTTAAATCTTAATTAGAATAGCAGAATGATCTGTTCATGTTTTTGAAGTGTCAACCATACATAAATTTTGATTGGTGTAAAATATTAAGTTTTATATCAAGAAAGTAATGATCCACTTAATTGTGTAGATCTCACTATTTTTGCTAATTACAAAATGTGTACTATTTATACACTCTTTGAGTGTGAACAAAATCGAGCTCGAAGATATTAGGCAACAATGACGTTGCTACGTGTTATTATAAATTAATGAACAGTTGTAAATGAGATTGGGATTAAGTGAGAGATGAAAGAGTTAATGTCATAATACACTTCTATTAAAAAAATAAGAAAAAGTATTAGGAATCTCAAATATTTTATTAAATATTTTATCAAATGTTTTATATGGGTGTGAAATTCACACCATGTGAGTTTCACAGGGGTTTCACATCTATATGAAATATTTAGTAGAATATTTAAGATCTTTAACATTATTCAAAAACAAATGTATTATTATCAAATACCTTTGAAACATAAACAAAAACTTTTTCAATCATAATAAAAATAACAACTATTATAGATCAGAAAAATATTTGAGAGCCACAAATTCTGTGGCTCAAATAGTCTGAAACTGTCAGAATGAAGTCATTTTGCGTCGTTTTGCATCCAAAACGACGTCGTTTTGGGTGTTTCGAGCCATTCGAACCACATAATTTGTGTCCACCTAGCGTTGCTGTGTAGATCATGATGAATGGCCCGACTGTCCAAAACAACGTTGTTTTAGATTTTTTTTTTTTTTTCGATTTATATTTGAAACAGAAGGAGGGCGAGAGAGAGAGAGAGAGGGGGGGAAGAGAGAAGAGAGAGGAAAACAGAGGGAGAGAGCTCCACCCACCGGCGCCATCACCGGTGATGGCGAGGGTTTTGCGACGGTGACGGTGACCTTGCGACGGTGATCTTGCGACGGTAGCGGGATTGTATATAGAAATGGGGGGAGAATAAAGTAATTCAGGCATTTGGATATTGTTGCGATCAACTTGGCTTCGCGATCTCAATCTCTCTCTCTCTCTCTCTGCGCCGAGGCGAAGAAGACGCCGGAGACGATCAAATATTTGTCTGTATGGTTAGGGTTTCAATGCCTCTGATTTCACTAAAAAATTCTTCAAAATTTCCCAAATTCTTTAGTCTCGTTTGTGATTCATACTGTGTTCGATTTTTGTATAATTTATAAATTTTGTTCGATCATATTATGCAGATGTATATGTATTCATATAAGCCTCTTGATACAGGCGATGCATGTGGAAGTAGCCGTCAAGAACGTGAAAGTGTTAGAAATTATATATATTTACTGTGTGTGTTTAGATATTGTAAACACCAATTTGTGTGTTTAGATATTGTAATAGTATATCTGGTTTTGATGATGATGATGATGTTTTGGTTTGAATTCTGTCTTTCTTCTCTCTTTCCTCTTCTCTTATTTCTTCTCTCTTTCCTCTACTTTCTTCTTCTTCTTTGTTGAAGAAGAGAAGACACATATCAGAACACAGAAAGGGGCGCAAAAAAAAAAAAAAAAATAAAAAAATCACGTAGTTTTGATTTTTGAGCCAATCGAGCCATGTGTCATAACAATGGTTTGACCAAATACCACTAAAAACATAACTAAAAATTTCTTTTTGGCATAATCAAAATAACAATCATAATTAAATATAATTAAATTATAACTAATATCACAATAAATAATAATTGAGTCATGATTAATACTATAATATATCATAATTAAAATTTAATCAATTACTACTTGAAACACAATCACAAACTTTTTTGGTTATAATCAAAATAACAATCACCAAAGAACATAAACAATGTGATAATCAAAATGAATTTCATTCCACTCATTTGATTAATCTTATTGGATGGTGACACTATTATTGCATTTACATTTCTTCAATTTTGAGGATTCATAAAGTATTAATATTTGTTCAAATTCCAATATTGATTTGGGAAAATGATCTATCCCTACAAATTTCTTTCATAAAACCATTTTTTTATAAACTCTTATCGGTACCAAGAGTTCATCACAGAATAATACTACATATCTTAAAAGTTTTATTAAAATTTCTATCAAATGTCTCATATAGATGTGGAACTCACACCATATGAGTCTCATGTAGATATCACAATCATGTGAGACATTTGGTAGAAATTTTAGTAGAATTTTTAAGATTTCTAACATTTTTGTTATCACTATAAAGTGAATAAATAAATTCTTACCGATAAAAAACTATGAATAGGTACTTTTTGAAAAAAAATTATAAGGATGTAAATTTATTAGGAAACACTATGCTGCACACCCTTCAAAAGGTGTGTATCATATGCATATTATAACTAAAAAAAATGTCATAACTTTAATTTTTTGAATCATAACTAAAAATAGATGTCATAACTAAACACAATATGAAACATAATTAAAGATCTTATGAATTATAATTAAAATAATATCATAACTAAAAAAAAAAAATTAATCATAACTAGGCCTCGTTTGGCAAGAGGCTATTTTAGCCAATTAGCCAAAAAGTTACTAAATTAGCCAAAAAGCCAACAACCCATACCAAAAAGTCAAAGATTCTATTTTCTCTTTACTTTTTGCACATCTTTTCGTAATTAGCCAAAAAGTCATCCCAAAAAATGGCCAAAACGATGTCGTTTTAGCCATTTGAGCTACTTTTGAGCCACAAAATTTGAGTTACGAGACATTTTCCTAACTAAAAATAGATGTCATAACTAAACACAATATGAAACATAATTAAAGATCTCATGAATTATAATTAAAATTATATCATAACTAAAAAAAAAAAATAATCATAACTAAATAAAAAATGACATAAATAACATAATTAAAAAGATATATTGTACACTTTTTTTTAAAGAAGTGTTTATTAGAATTTTTCAAATTTATTTGTATCTTCAAATAAGATTTGTGTATGACAAAAAGAACAATCATGTGTTAAATTAAAAGGTTACAGTCAATCAGCCCGTCCTCATTAGAGTAAGAATTTTTGAATGAGAGCATGACGGCCTACCTCTAAATAAAATCTTGTATTTTTATTTTTATTTTTTTATTTGTTTGGGTGTCTTTTCCTTTGCTTTTGGGTCTTTCAGACTAATCTTATCCACGTGTTTAAAAGCATTCCAGAATTCTAATGAGGTTTCCGTGTCTCCATTTTGTTTTTCATTGGGAATTTGGGATGTCGTCTGATTTAAGATAAGTATCCATATGATATAAGAAAAGCTAATCAAATTGGAATTAGGTCAAAATGTTGAGAAATTTTTAAAATGATTTTTAAAATTTATATTTTAGGTTTTGGGTGTTTTCAAAATTTTTATTATTTTTTTTTGAAAAACTTAAAATAAGTTTGGGAACTTTATTTTACATTGGAAAGAGAGGAAAACATAAAGCGCTTAATAAAGTGTCACATAAAATATTTCTTTGAATATGAAATTGTGGAATGGATGTTAGTGTGTATGCACTCACACTGCAAGGATGGTCACCATCCGCACATGTGCATGCGTGGCATGGGCAGTGAGTTGTGTGGCGTTTGATGACGCGCTTTGCACGGACTCATCGGCGTAAGGCGCCATGAGGGTGCTTTTCTATTTGCATCGTAAATGTTGGAGCGATGACATGGATCCAACGTGGCATAGGTGATGTGGTGTTCGTTGGTGATGAGCCAACCAACCGATCGAATAGTTGTGTGTTCAATCTGAAGCAGTTTGATCATAGCCATTGATTAGAGGTGTGCACAGTCGTATAGTTGAGATTGCACCCGATCATGATCAAGTGTGATCAGTCAAGGCATCTATTCGATGTGAGATTGATTTGCACCATAGACTGTCGATCCAATGCTCAGATCTTATCGGATGTGATCAAAACTCTCAAAGTGGTATACGTGTTGACTAACCCTTATTTGGCAGAGCAAGAAAACGATACGGTGGAGCAAACCTGTCACCACCCAAACCCGCCCCTATAGGTTTAGCATCGTAACCGACTAGTAATTCGAGATAATTTTGATTTTTGTCACATTTATGGCTCTCAATTTCAGATTTTAGCACAATTCAAAACATATTTTCCTATGATCAATAAATATAGAGTCAAAACTCTTACAAAACACATAATTAGCTTTCAAAAGCACATTAAGCACATAATTACATGTATAATTAATGAAATTATAGCTTAATACGGAATAGGGTTGTCACAAAATCCGTACTAGAACTAAATGGGAGAATGACTACTATATTTGCCGAGGAGACATTCTGAATGCGCTGTCAGACTCTCTGTTCGATGTGTATCAATATCTGGAAACGACGAAGCAACTTTGGGACATATTTTAGTCAAAATACCTCACCGAGGATGCTACTAGTAAAAAATTTATTGTTAGTAATTTTATTTATTTTTCTATGATTAATAAAAGCCCATTATTGAACAATTCCATGAGATCCAACATATTTTGAGTCAGTTTCGACAAAAGAATATGACCATGGATGAATCTATTGTAGTTTCATTTATAATAAAGAAACTGTCATATTCTTGGAAGGATTTTAAGAAAACTCTGAAATACATAAAAGAGGATCTTACTTTAGAGGAATTGGCTCAACACCTCCCTAGTTGAAGAAGAGTCAAGGCTTCTTGAAAATAAAGATAACCAATTGGCTCAGGCTTCTAAAATTCACATGGTGGATGATGGCAAGAGCTTCAACAAAAGGAAGCATAAGCGCAACCCCCAACCTGAGAAAAATGCTAAGAAACCGAAAGGCGTTTGCTGGCACTGTGGTAAGCCAAGGCACTTCAGAAATGAATGGCGGTCATAAAAGAAGAAGCCGAAAGCATCAAATGCCAAGAACAAGTTCGTGGCTATTGTATTCAAGGTGAACATGCTTGAAGATGTTGGTAACTGGTAGATTGACTCAGGAGCAACGAGGCATGTTTACAACAACAAGAGCCTTTTCACTACTTATGAACAAATGAGTGATGGAACAGCTTTTTACATGGGTAACTCTTCAACTACTACTATCAAAGGCGAAGGGATGGTGGATCTAGAGTTCACATCTGGAAAAATCTTAAGTCTTAATGATGTTTATCATGTACCTGATGTCAGGAAAAATCTTGTATCTAGAAGCCTGCTTAATACGCATGATTTCAAGTTAGTATTTGAGTCGGACAAATTTGTCCTGCCTAATGGTGGGATTTTTGTTGGGATAGGCTACATGTATCAGGAAATGTTCAAACTTAACGTTATCAATAATACATCTATTTGTACTTACATTATTGATTCTCTTTCTTTATGGCATACCTGTTTAGGTCATGTTAATAGTAGAAAAATGCATGATATGATTAATTTAGATTTAATTCCTAAGTATGCATTGATATGTTTGAAAAATGTAAATTTTGTGTGTAATCTAAAATTACTCGCATTTAATTTCTTAAAGTAGATAGAACCACATCTTTGCTTGAACTTGTGCATAGTGATGTATGTGGCATGCTTAGTACCCCACTAAAGGTGGTAAGAAATATTTTGTAACATTTATTGATGATTTTTCTAAGTATTGTCATATCTATCTTTTGCATTCAAAAGATGAGGTGCTTGATAAATTCAAAAATTTTAAAACGTAAGTAAAAAATCAGTGTAATGTCAAAATAAAGAGACTTAGGTATGATAGAGCCAATGAATACTATTTTTTAGAATATTGTGAAAATGTTGGTGTTATTCATGAGAAGTCTATACCCTACACACCACATCACAATAGAGTAGCTGAAAGAAAGAATATGACATTAACAAAAATGATTAATACTATGTTTTCTTACTCTAGTTTAAGTTATGGGTTTTGGGGTGAAGCCTTGTTCACTGCCTGTCACATACTCAATAGAATTCCTTTCAAGGGAAGAAATGTTACTCCTTATGAACTTTGAAAAAACAAGAAACCTAATTTAGGCTACTTGAAAACTTGGGGCTATAAAGCAATAGTCAGATTGCCTAAACTTAAAATGAAGAAATTAGGTAAAAAAGGAATTAAATGCATATTCCTTGGCTATGCTATACACAACAAAGCATATAGGTTTTTGGTAGTAGAGCCCAATAGTTCAGTAGAAACAAATACCATCACTGAATCATGTGATGAAGTCTTTTATGAGGATCATTTCACAACCATTCCAAGGTTGGATTCTAATCAATGAAATGAATCAACTTCTTTGATGTCTACAAAGGAAAGTGAGCAAAGTGAATCCATTGAGCCTAATGAACCTAATGAGCCTGCTGAGCTAAATAGGAGTAAGAGAGCTAGGATTGAGAAGTCATTTGGGCCTAACTACCTTGAAGAAGGAACTAGAAAAGCTTATTGCAAGCAAACAATGATTTATTTGAATATGGATTCAAATCCATTAACCTTTGA